TGATTTCGGGATCGTTTGGAGCCAGTTGGAAGAACTCTGGTTGGTTATCTTCTGATATCACTGCAGGCTAATGCGATTCATCCTTCCACAAGAACTCCCGACCGATTATCAAACGAGAGCCACTTTATTATCAAGCCTTTGCATTGGGATGCCACGAGAGGCGTCATCTGCGGGATTCAATTTTGATTCTACGTAATGCCACTTTTACTGAGATGTTCCCTCTTGAATCTGCTGTACCCTATTAGCAACGAAAACCTAGAATCGCTTGGTTTCATTCTTAATATACCCAAGTACGACCTTGCTGTCTGTCCAAAAGTACTCTACTATCGTATCGTATTCTAGCTCTTTTTGTAACTGTTCGCTGACTTTCATGCACTGATATTACAGCAGCTGTTAGCTCGAGTCTTTGTATTCTCACTGGTTTAAGTGGGGTGACTCTAGCCTTTCCCATCACCAAAGAACAGCTAACGTCGCCCTTCTTATCTTTACCATAACCATAACCTCGACCATATCGACCATAATCTCGATTGCTGGCATCCGAAAAACTGTGCAATTGAACGTTGGTAATGCTACCAAAATCTCTGGACTTGTAAGACCATGGTACCGACGAGCTTTCGACTTGGAACAGTCCTGAAATCCATTTTTCCCATTTGTATCTCATGTGATCAGGAATGGGATCGTCCCATTCTGCCCAATCTTTGCAAATAATTTGGAGCAAACATTTCGCTTCAAGGATTACTAGAGCCAAAAAACCTAACGGGTCATAGATTGAACTAATCGTTGACAACATCCCTCTCTTGTGCACGGACGATCTTTCAGTGTTATTCTAAATTGAAGAGCGTCGCTCTCAATACACCATTGCACTCCCAGAGCGCGTTCAACTGGCAGGACGTCGTATTAGAAAATCGATTTCCTTCATTCCTTCTACACGATCTTCAACCGGGATCATTTCAATCACCTCTTTCTCATTGGAGATGAACTTATCCTTTAGTATTTTCTTCACAAACGAAACAAGGTGATGGAATTGTACCAGAGCTGCATCTGTCTTTCGTAATTTAAAGGCATGACGACACCATACCCCTCCGGAGTAGGATGAAAGCTTTGCACTAATTTGCCTCAAGGTTTTAGTGGAATTTAAATCCTCCATAAATTTCATTGTTCTCATCGCTTCCTCACAACGTAATAGGAAGTCAGAAAGCTCCTGCAAGACTTTACTGCCCCCTTCATTAACTGTTCCCCACGCTTTCAACTTAGCTTTGCATGCATCTGACACTTGATAAGGATCCGAAAGTGCTTTCAGAGGAGCTTCTTAGCTTCTTGACAACCACTGTCCGAATTTAGAGTAACATAAGACTTAACCAAGTCGTTCGCTTTTCCGCTAGTGTATTTGTTCATGAAATATAGCCTGTCTCTGTCATCTGGAACCCTGTTCCCGATAATTGTCTCAAAGGCTCCAATGAATATCGGGTAATCAAAGAAACGTCCACTAAAAGTTGGTGGTTCTTGTACTGGTAAAGATTGCATTCGTTGTTCCTCCGCAATCTTAGCACTCAACTCAGTTTGTTTGGTTGAAGTTTAATCATTTCTTGTAGAGCGACATCATTCCAAGAAGCAATGGCTAACGGAGAACTGATTTCATGTTGTACTTGTACGTTCGATGTTTGACATGGTCCTGATTCCTTGCTATCACGAGTTACCTCATCATTTCGTTGTGAAGTTGCTGTACTTTGAAAGGCTGGAACGTTTAAATTTAGTCCTTTCCGTTCTGCGCTTATATGAGTACTTGAAACAGGCATTTTATTGGTGAGATTAATCTTAGGATCAAGCAAATTGTCACCTAAAGATAGTTTATCCACACTGTCACTTACATCATGACGAGAAATATGCCCTCTTCTTCCTCGATCTTCAACATTGCATTTTTCCTTGTGTTTGCCATTTCAAATTGTCTCGCTATTTGAAGCCTTTTAAGCTTTAAGCTTGTTTCTTCATCAAGAAACTTCATTTCCACTTTATAAACTCTTATTCTTCTTGAACGGGCTGGACATTGCACGCTTGACCAGACACAGTTGGGCTTGCTAATTAAACAACTCTCTTTCCAACGCATGAATACGCTCGCATATACCTTAAGTCGACACTGATCGTGTTCTCTAGTTCTGGCGTCAAACCATCTATAGGATTCATTCTTTTTTTCACTCGATTTTAACACGCAATCATATACTTATTGTTCTCATCACTGAAATGTTCCATTTCTTGGTCCAAAGTTTCTCGTGGTTGCTCTAACTGTTCCACACTGACACAATCCGTAACGAGAACCTTTATCTTCGTTATTACCAATAACTTGTTTCTCGTGCTTGCTCTACCTGTTCCACACTGACACAATCCGTAACGAGAACCTTAATCTTCGTTATCATCAATAACTTGCCGTTGATCATCAATAACTTGCCATGGGCCACGGCTCTTTTGCGTCGCAATAAATCAAGTCGGTAACGTTTACCTTTTTCTGTGAATTTTACTGTTTGTTTTGCTCCTCCCTGAGTTGCCAATGATAAAAAATTTCTCAGTGATACATAAATTACTTCGCTTGCCCAGATTTGTTTGAGGTTGTAGCTCTGGCGATAATTTTCCATGATTTATAGTTGACGCATTAGTCCTTCTGTTCCCTTGCTCATCTGCGTCGCGTTCATTTTGTTTTTGTCCCTAAACGATGCTAAGTGGTTGCTATATATATATATATATATATATATATATATATATATATATATATATATATATATATATATATATATATATTATATATTATAATATATATATATATATATATATATATATATATATATATATATGTATTTATGTAATGTATGCTGCATAAATTAATTATGCATAAATTAGTTTCGGGGGAACGGACAAGAAAAACGTGAGTTTGTGTTGCGAGAAGTCGAGTATTGTAGCTCAGTAGTCGTTGCTAAATATCGTTGGAAACATTTCGTAAAAGGTTTCGCTATTGGGGACAGAGGTAAGATAAACGCAAAAAGATTATTTAAAGTGATCATAACGTAGCGTAGCTCATGAATTATGTATATTATTCATTTTAGTTTTTACATGTTGATCTTTAATAAACCATCATTGATAATTGGACATTTATTGTCGAAGCGGCCGGGTTTAATGGTTTATACGTTCGATCGATCTTGTAAATAACCTATCCCCCTATCGAAACGAAGAGACAGTTACAATATATATATATATATATATATATATATATATATATATATATATATATATACACCCATTTGCAAAAACGTTGGCCGCAGATAGATAGATAGATAGATACTCGAAGTCTAATTAGAATTGCATATGATTATATTTGCATGGGATTTCAATAACATTACACAACATATGCAATTCTAATTAGATTTCGGGTATCTATCTATCTATCTATCTGCGGCCAACGTTTTTGCAAACGGGTGTATATATATATATATATATATATATATTAGCATTTTAAATGAAGGATTAAAAGCCATTTTCAATTCCCAGAGATGCTTATCTATTGCGCTTTAGAGCTGTATTAATATTCTGCATATTTAAGTGGTATATATATATATATACATATATATATATATATATATATATATATATATATATATATATATATATATAGTAGAGCACGGTAGAGCACGGTTTAAGGTCATTAATCATTAAGATAAACAACCAAGGTCCGGGTTTAGTTCCTTGGGAAACTCCAGACGGAACCCCGCCCCCTCCGAGAAACAGTCACGTGACATTTACCCTTTGTTCTCTATTCATAAGAAAGTCAACAATCCATTTCTTTACTGAAAGTGGAATATAAAGTTGAAATACTTTTTGTGCAAGAATTCGGTGATCAATAAGATCAAATGCTTTTCGGTAATCAAGCAAAACTACTCGAACTGCATCCCCTGTACCGTCCGTAGCCTTATTCCATTCATGAAGCATGTTGATAAGTGTTAGAGTGGCTGAGGACCGAGGGATCCCTCCGAATTGCTGTGGATCAACAATGCTCAAGATAGCTGGCGCAATATAATTTTCGACAACGAAGTCTTCGGCAAGTTTTGGATTTGGACGGCAAAATTTTATTATATTACTATAATAAAATTTTGTGCCATTTTGCCACCTACACGACATTGAAAATTATTCGTAGGTGACGTAATTTTTTGCCGCTAGTTTGTTGTCAATAATGCTGCAGGCTTCCACCCTAAAAAGGAAATACATATGAAAACCATTATTGAATTCGGTTTTCGCATGATATCGAGAATTATCAAGCCTCAGTTTGCGTTATGCACCTCAGTTTCCCTTCGGCGAATAACGCAAACTTCGGCTTGATATAAGTCTCAATCAACTCATCCAATAATTGTTAAATATATTCACCATTCTTTCATGCAAGGATTCATTTTCAGTTGTTGTTATGCTAATTGTACGTTACATGCACTTTAAGATTACGCTATAAAAGCGCTGTGAATTCATTATTCATGTGCCTGCGAGTAAACATATGGTAAACAGACAACTTAGCAAATATATATTTTAGCGGTCCGTATGAGGCCATACGGACCGGGCGAGATTTAAAAGCACAGAGCCAACGCTAAGATATGAATTCTCACCGCAAAAAAAAATCTATTATTTACCAGTTTAGTCGGTCCGTATAGGGAAATATTTCCCTCGGCCTCAAAAACATCTCTGGGAAATATTTCCCTATATAGATCGACCTCCAATCTGGTAAATAACATATATGTATGTACATGTATAGTTGAAAAATTCCACAACTTCTACTATACTACTTCCACAACCTTCCTTTGAGAACAAAAAAGGCTCGAAACCTTGTCTAAACTCCCCAGTATACATCCAACACAAAATATTAGATGACTAGAAATATTCGATGAGTACATGGTTCATATGTCGTCATACACGCAAGTATATATAACAATATATATAAGGGATATTTCAACTTTTGTTGTTTCTCCCTCTAGTGATTCTGAAACTGCACCTGAAAGGTAAAGCAAATTTAATGTAGTATATACTACATGTAGGTAGAGCGCTCAATACTTTGTGGTAGAGCGTTATACTATAACAATTTATATAAGGGATATTTCAACTTTTGTTGTTTCTACTTCTATTCTGAAAGTGCCTCTGAAAGGTAAGGCAAATTTAATGTAGTAATGCATGCAGGTAGAGCGCTCAATACCTTGTGGTAGAGCGTTATACTATAACAATATTTATTATATGACACGCGGTCTCGTGACTACAATGGCGTGGGCTGATTGGTTCTTCGCCGATCTGGAATCCCCCAGTATTAGACCGTTGCCGTATAGTAACGGTCCAACTCTCATATTTTTGAAAAAAACAAGCTTGCACTTTTATTGTTGACACGAAAAATATCGACAGAGAATGGAAGAAGAGCATTATTTGGTACATAATAATGCTATATTTATTCATTTTTTATATTTGGTTTTATTACTGTATCATTCTTATTTAACAAGTAAAAAAACAAAGTTTTGGAAGCCGCTTCAGTGCTTACTTGGCGACAGCCTGGTGAAAGAGCCGGCAAGAATGCTGCAACGCATTGTATAAATAAATAAACTAAATACTGTATGCCATATAATAAATACCTTATTAACCGAATACGTTCGGTCCGTACTGGAAAAATATCCGACCTCCGTCTTTTATGTGCGGACATCGCTATCGCTCGGTCCGTACTGTCAAGACCTCGGTCTGATATTTTTCTAGTACGGACCTCAAATTCTGTTAATAAGTGGTATATATAAGGGATAGTTCAACTTTTGTTGTTTCTCTCTCTAGTGATTCTGAAAGTGCACCTGAAAGGTAAGGCAAATTTAATGTAGTACTACATGTAGGTATAGAGCGCTCAATACCTTAGAGCGTTATACTATAACAATATACATAAAGGATATTTCAACTTTTCTTGTTTCTCCCTCTAGTGATTCTGTAAGTGCACCTGAAAGGTAAGGCAAATTTAATGTAGTACTACATGTAGGTAGAGCGCTCAATACCTTGTGGTAGAGCGTGATACTATAACAATTTGTATAAGGGATATTTCAACTTTTGTAGTTTCTACTTCTATTCTGAAAGCGCACCTGAAAGGTAAGGCAAATTTAATGTAGGAATGCATGTAGGTAGAGCGCTCAATACCTTGTGGTAGAGCGTTATACTACACGCCTAAAAACGCTCAGGTTGATGCAAGTTGATACAAACAGGATGGAGCAATGTTGTGCTGCCCACATTGTTCAGAGTTGTTATCAACATTGAACAATATTGTTGAAACTGAGTCGGGTGTAACAATATTGTTCAATATTGATAACAACTCTGAACAATGTGGGCAGCACAACATTCCTCCATCCTGTTTATATCAACTTGCATCAACCTGAGCGTTTTTACGCGTGTATAACAATATTTATTATATGGTACGCGGTCTCGTGACTACAATGGCGTGCACTGATTGGTTCATCGCCGGTCTGGAATCCCTCAGTATTAGACCGTTGCCGTAGTAACGGTCCAACTCTCATATTTTTTAACAAAAACAAGCTTGCACTTTTATTTTTGACACGAAAAATATCGACGGAGAGTGGAAGAAGAGCATTATTTGGTACATGCTAATATTATATTTATTCATTTTTTATATTTGGTTTTATTACTGCATCATTCTTATTTAACGAGTAAAAAACAAACTTTTGGAAGCCGCTTCAGTGCTTACTTGGCAACTGGCTGGCGAAAGAGCCGGCAAGAATGCTGCAACGCATTGTATAAATAAATAAACTAAATACTGTATGCCGTATAATAAATACCTTATTAACCGAATACGTTCGGTCCGTACTGGAAAAATATCAAACCTCGGTCTTTTATGTACGGACCTCACTATCGCTCGGTCCGTACTGTCTAGACCTCGGTCTGATATTTTTCTAGTACGGATCTCAAATTCGGTTAATAAGTGGTATATATAAGGGATATTTCAACTTTTGTTGTTTTTCTCTCTAGTGATTCTGAAAGTGCACCTGAAAGGTATAAGGCAAATTTAATGTAGTAATGCATGTAGGTAGAGCGCTCAATACCTTAGAGCGTTATATGTACTATAACAATATACATAAAGGATATTTCAACTTTTCTTGTTTCTCCCTCTAGTGATTCTGTAAGTGCACCTAAAAGGTAAGGCAGATTTAATGTAGTACTACATGTGGATAGAGCGCTCAATACCTTGTGGTAGAGCGTTATACTATAACAATATATATAAAGGATATTTCAACTTTTGTTGTTTCTCCCTCTAGTGATTCTGAAAATGCACCTGAAAGGTAAGGCAAATTTAATGTATAGTAGTGCATGCATGTAGAGCGCTTAATACTTTGTGGTAGAGCGTTATACTATAACAATATATATAAGGGATATTTCAACTTTTGTTGTTTCTCCCTCTAGTGATTCTGAAAGTGCACCTGAAAGGTAAGGCAAATTTAATGTAGCAATGGATGTAGGTGGAGCGCTCAAAACCCAAATCCCAAACTTATAAACTCAACTGAACTTAGTAAACCCATGTGGTCACTTAAGTATTTAAATGTACCCTACTCAACCCCATGCAATGTTTTGAAACGGTGTATACCAAACGATGTAACTTCTGTTTATACGAGAAATTTATAATAATTTGTAAGCCGGAAGTCTGTACATGCACTACAACAAAGAAGCGAACATGTTTCGAACTTTAGGCAAAAAAAATATTCACCATGCAGCAAATAACTATATACTAGAAATACATGCATGCAGCAACCCCTCGCTATTTCAACCCAAGTACACAATTTCCTGAGTTAACCTGACCTAAACTTATATTATGAAATGACACAAAACTCAAATCAGTCTGATTATATTTTACCGAGTATACTATAGCTAATGTTTCCATCATTCAATACAAAAATAATCATAAAGCTAGTGTAAACATTGCCCGTTCAATTTTGCTGCATTATACCATGTCAGCAATTAAGTAACGGTTTAAAACCGAAGTTTCAAACGATTAAAACAGTACAAAATCTTCACAGACAAAGAAAAAACTTCAAATGTTATTTTATTCTGTAATTGCAGTCGATGCCAGCGGCTAAACGTTTTATACTTTATAAATATAGTGTGTATTTTTGATACCAAAATTCAAATTAAACTTTCAAAAACACTTTTTGAAGTTAAAGCAAAGGTGTAATAGCCTTTCACAGGTTTATGCGTTTCCATAAAAAGCTGAAAATTAAACAAATAAACGGCATACAAAGCTGAAAAGTATAAAAAAATAGCTCATCCTTACCGCGAAACAAATACGAAATAAATAAAGTAAACACGTACCCTTTGTCTTTGAAAACACTTATAAGCTTGCAGATTATTAATTATTCCTCTTACACGGCTTTGTCTTGACTGTATCCACGTTCATCTTTGCTATTTGTCATGCTTCATATATCTTGTATTTTGTCGTTTTACTTTCTTTGCACAAAGTTTATGAAACGCTTTTACAAAAATGTTTACGAAATGACAGTTAAATTGCTGACGTTCTCATTGAAATACAAACTTTCTGTCTTAGCCAATCAAAACGTTTGTTGATTACCAGACATTACTCGCGCATGCGCATAACTTACAAAACCACCCAACGTCGACCGTCCATGACAAAGAATTTGGACAATTTTGGATTCGGCTATGTTCTACCGGGTTCCGGATGTAATTCCTAATCTCCGAGCGGAATTAGTACCCTCGCAGGCGCTCCGCGCCCGCTCGCGATCGGGGAATATGTCATGTCACGACTATATACAGCCGACGAACTGCGTAATAATAGATCTATGTTATCATCCACTTAACAGTGGTAATATATAAATTTATTATTAATTCAATTTTATTAGCACATCATTTTTATTCATGCATATACGTGTATATAGGGAGGATGTCGAACTAAGGTATATTTGTAAAGAGGCCTGGTTTTCGCGAATGGTCGTGGAACATTCTGGAGAAACGTTTTATAGAGATGGCGGCAATTCAATAATGAAGATTCCAAGAAATACATCTAAAGTCAAAGTGAGATTCCAGGTAATGCGTGGTCCAAAAATCTGGTGTGATGTAAAGAAGTATAATCGGGAAAAGAAATGCTGGTGCAAGCCTACAGTACCTCACATCTTTAATTTTGATGTACCTATCACGTATACGTTTACATTGGAGGGTTCACTTTATTTTGAAGCAGTAATGAAGGTAACTGATCAACACTATCATGAAGTTAACATTATGGAGTAAGCACTCAGCTTCATATACATAACTCTGATCACCAAAATACTATGTAACCTAGTAACTATGCAGTATTAACCCTTTGGACTTGAACACAATTGCACCTATATATAACAAACGTTTATATTGTATCGTAATGACGGGATTTTAATCACCATGTATATCGTATTTTCTTCAATAAGAAACATTGTGTATGTAATTTGTTATTTTTCCGTGTGTGCATGCTAGCTTATAAACGCAGTTATATTCCGGTATATTTTATGATAACAACTTTTTGTAACAAAAACAAGTACGATCGTACTATAGTGGACCAGGAACTGCCTGACCGAGTTTCTGAACTGCATTGTATTTACAACAATAGAGAGGACAATGTATTTGTAATCGTTTGCGTATTTTTATATATAGGCTGAATATTAATGATATATAGGCTGAATATTAATGATATGTATATATTATTTGCTGCACATATAGTCAATAATTGCTTGTAACTTGCTTCAACGGTCAAAAGTAAAAATTCGAACTCCGTCAGTCGATGCGGAATATTGCTTAGAATGATTGTGCCAAGTTTCATTCCGATCAAACAGGTAATGAAAGAGCCTTAGGGTTTTTTTATAGAGCGTCGCCCCCTAACAAGAAGAAGAAAAAGAAGAAGATGTCTCGATCGTCTTAATACCTGAATTACCGAATGTTCTTCGTTTGCTGCGTTGTGTCTACGACGATTGCAGATAACTTTAGCGGAGGTTCGAATTAGCGGGATACAAATTGGACGATCAATGCAACAACGTGATTTTGGTTATTTTCTCATTTATGTAATTGTGTGTGTCTCTGAGTAGAGAAGAATTAGTTGTATACAGATGATATTAATTGAAGATGCATGCAAGTGTAATTTGAACTGTTAGTTTAAGTGTCAACCAATCAAGTGCGCTCTAGTGCGTTGCTATATAATATTAACTATTACTATTAGTGCAAAGTCCATGTCAATTCTCGACAGAAGAAGAAGATTAGCAGCGGTTAGGGACCAGTTCCTGGTCCAAAAATTATGAAATATTGCACCGGCATTGCAAAAGCGTAGGTTCGATTCCTGCCGGAGGACCGATAATTACCTGTCGATAATTACCTGATCATCACCTGTTCCTGGCTTGAATTTGAAGTGTGTATAATTCCTCTCGAAATTAAGCTATGTGTTCACTTGGCCGTGTAGCTCAGACGGCCAACTTGGCCGAAGGTCGTAGGTTCGATTCCCACCGCGATCAAGTATAGAATTTTTTGCTTGCCCGGTTGGTTATACCTAATTGTGTAGATTTCGAAGTACATAGAAAACACAAACCATATATGAAATAGCAATTGAAGGATCGTTTTTCAAGGTTTATAATGTCGTATTCAGTGCTTTTGTGCAGGAGTGGCTTTCGGTGCATTGCTTTTTTTAAGTATAGTAACGACGGCCGCTCGGCCATACATGCACAAAAAAAGGTTTACCGAAAGACAGCCCGCAACGACAAGTACCTAGGTTTCAATTCCCACCACCCAGCCATCCACAAACGTTCCGTTGTCAAAACTTTTTTAGCCCGCGCAAACAACATTCCGTTATTCGCTTCAAGTAAATTGATTGCGTAAGTCATACTTATCGGATATAATTTGTAACATGAAATGTTCAATATTAATCAACCTATAATGCATTTTTAAAGTGCCTATATGACTTGTGGGATCTTTACGGATTTGAATAGGGCTTGAAAATTTTGTTTATAAGTTCTACAACCTTTTTTGATACAATTCAATAGTTTCGAAAACACGTCGGTTGGACTGGGACTCAGGAATGATTTGCAAACACGCCATCTTATAAAATGTAGGCATGAAGAGTTTCACTGGTGATATAGTTTGGCGCGCTTTTCAAGAATTAACAAAATGCGGGAACGGTGCGATGTGTATGGCTGTAGCAACTGGGCGAGTTTTTCTCAAAATATTTTGCTTTAATTGAAGATCGAAGTAAAATTACAATTGATTATATTATGTTTGACAAGAACTCGGTTCCTGAGTCCCAGGCCCCGGAGAACGACGGAAATTTCGGCAAATCGTCATGTTTAGATGTAAATATTTCCGAAACTATTTAACTATATCAAAAAGGGTTGTAGAACTTATACAATAATTTTTCAAGCTCTATTCAAATCCGTAAATATCCCACAAGTGATATAGGCAAAGTTTGTGTACAGCGCCGGTTGTTTGGAAGGCGTTTAGCCTAAACGATGGATAAGCCAAAGTTTAAAAATACTCTCATATATCTCGTGAATGCCCGGCGGAACTGCATTTTATGTATTAAATATTTCGGTTTATTTTTCCAATAAGAAATAATTTTTAGATATTTCAGCTTAAATGCGATTTTTCAGAATTGAATAGTTTTGTAAAGAAATTATATGGTTTGTGTTTTCGGGTGTTATATATATTTATGCATGTTGGGACTCACTTAATTTCAATATTTTGACACTCTTCAGTGTGATTTTGTTGCATGGGAAGTGTTGGTGCCTATTGTCTATGTTTAACTGTCAACAGTATGTATTACGAGATTATTATCCTTGAACTTATTAAATTTGCCATGCAGACGTGACCATTGTACGTCACGCGGCAGCACATTAGTGGTGGCATTTGGTTTCAGCGCAACAGCTTATAATCAGATGTTTTCAGGGCTTCTATATTAGTTGGTTTACCTGTTTGGAGAAGAGTTCAAGATGAATGTGATTATAGCGTTGTTGCTTTTTCTCGACATTTTCTCCACGGTTCCTGTGAGGTATGTGTAAACCCTTATCCGACGTTTACTGGCGCAAAATCCTCTTTTGGTGCCTTTTCAAATTGTTACATTCTGCATTTCAATTGTAATATGATGACGTTGTATTGTACGTAACCAAAGTTGTCTCGCATTACCCTTCGAGTCCCGTCAAACCTTAGTCGCTCCAGCATATGTTGATTAAACATTTTTTCCTCTCCAGTGCCGTTTGCGAAGGTAATAATAAAGAACCATCTCGCATTGGCAATAACTGATAATATAACACATTATACGAGAAACGGCATCACACGTAGCTAACATGCCGCGTAGCTATAATGCAGTATTTTTTTTACGAGAGTGATGCATCGTCTTTGAAAACTGTATAACTATCTATAGCTAAACTATAGACAGCTGGCTAGAGCCCAAGTTAAGTATAATCAGTTGCATCCAAACGTGAAACTCCATTCTTGAGGAAAAAACATGTGCAGTCAGTGAATCTCAGAATTGCATCATGGTGTACTTTAGATAGTTGGATAATTTTTTTGTGTGAAAATTTCACGAAAAAGGTTTAAAAGAATTTGAGCCCATGCTTGCTTTTATAATCGCGGAAAACAAATAGGGTTAATTAAAAGACAGCGAGCTTTATGAGACATTTAAGAAGCATTCAAGAAGTGGCTAATATGAATAGAAGTGCTTAATTTCAAAGTGCCGTAACCGTACAAATAGAGAGAGATCCCTAAAATATTCTAATTTCTATGTGCACTTCACTGTTATCATACGTATAAGAAGTAGGAGAACAAAAATAGGCTACAAAAAAATCGCAACATGTTATTATAATTATAATATTGTGTGCGGAAGTAGCATTGATGCGCAACCAGCTGCGCCAAAATAATGATATTACAGCGGAACAAAAAACACGCTGCAACTACAATAATGAATGAAAATATTGGAAGTGGCTTGTCAAGTTACCATGTGACTTTAGAAACGTAGAAATGTAGCTATGTCGGGATTAATCCAATGCAATTCACTAGAATTAGACTTCATGAAAATCTTGTATAATTGACGAAATGACCTTTGTTGTACGTTCGACGCCGGTCATTTTCCAACAACCGAGTATAGTGTTCTATTTAGTTAATTAATTATCTTTGTGATCATAAGGTGATTCTTGTGTGTAACATGCGCGTCGTTGCCTGTTGCGCGTCTCTTCTCGGTGGAAAGGTTTATACCCTCCACATCCCAATTACATAAAATTAACCTTTATTAAGCTTTTACGATTAAATTTGTGGCACTTCACTCCATGTAGGTAAATTCAAAAGGTTTTCAAACGGCTTAATTTCGAGAGGAATCATACACAACTCAATTCAAGCAGGAACAGTTGAGAAAACAAAATAGTCAACTATCGATCCTCCGGCAGAAATCGAGCCTACGCTTATGCGATGCTGGTGCAGTGGTCTAGCCACTGAGCTGTTTAACCTTTGTTAAATTCATTATAATAGATAATTGATTGTTTATTAAATATTTTCCTTTGTGTGCAGTCAACGTATTACCGATTCGGAATATAGAAATAAAGACAGAGTCAATACCGACTCTTACTTTAAACTCCTACATGGCGCAAACCACAAGTCCTGCTAACTAACGATAATTAACTATAGCGTTATCATTCGAGTACCGTCGGATTCTGTTCGGAGGCCGATTCATCAAAAATCGGAAGTTGAATATATCGGCCTTTTGTATAAGATGCATATAAAACAAAGACATAGTAAGCTAGGGCCCAAGTTGGGTAACCTGTAGCATGAAAACGTATATCAGTCGAATAGTTTTGTTTCCTAAGTGCAAAAGACGCAGTCAGTGAATCATAAACGTTCGAGGTTAAAATTTTTTAGGCAACTTGGTCGTTGTTTGTGGAAAAACTAGACCAAAGCTTTGACCTTGGAAATTAAAAGCAACACTCCGAGAGCAATTGTTCACATATGAACAGGAAATAGGAGTTTCCGATTGTAAAACATGCAATTCATCACATTATGAGAGGTAAATTAATCATCAAAAAAAAATGGGTAAAGTTAAAACGCGGACACGGAATGCCGGACGCAGACAACCCAAAACGATAAACCAATTAACTAAGAATATTAATTAATTATCATATTAGTTATTATTATGTTATCGCTTATTGATTATTGTATTTTCACTCGATATATATATATATAACTGCTTCTTTTTTGTTTGATTATTGAATCCACTATTTCTTAAATATCTTATGTGCTCTAGTGACAGGCAAGCTCTAATTGCACTAAGAATTTCGAAGTTTCCTTTAACTCTCGGATTCCATCATCATAGGGCCTATTTGCATCAGACACAATCACTAAATTCGAAGGTGCCCTAATTTTTTTCGCTGGAAGTAGGAAAAATTGCAAAAGATAAAATATGTATGTCCTAAAGAAAAATTTGGAAACCGAGTGGCATTGGTTCGTTTTTGTTGCAGCTGTCGTTGTTCTTGTTGTTGTTGTTCTACTTGTTGTTCTTGTTGTTCTTGTTGTTGTTGTTGTTGTTGTTGTTGTTGTGAACATGCGGGGATAGTGCAAAGCGAACTCATTGCAGATATTCGGATTTAAGAACTGATTTGTTGCCTTTGTGAGTTTAATTTCCTAGACGCGTACAGCTTCGCATACAAGAAGATTGTGCAAACCGGTATAGTGTTTCGTCTCAAGCTCAGTTCAAAATTGTAAAAAACTATTAAACATCCCTCTTTTAATAAATTTGTTTTACATGACTTTACATGTTATTGTAATGTTACCCTAGAATCATGGCGCAATCGCCAAAAACCCAGAGGGATCTTTTTCAATCAAATGTTTGAAACATCAGTCGACAAAATCCGGTACGCGTCCGTTGTTCTGCGTCCGCCGGTCCGCGTCCGCCGGTCCGCGTCCGCAAGTTTTCCATACCAAAAAAATTGTTCACTTCTGAAGGTCGAATGCATATATGATCACTTATTACCGCACTTCCTATGTTCATAGCATGCCAGGGCAGGTTGTATAAATTAAAACTCTTAATCCCTTTTTTTCATGTGACTAAATGATTTTTGTGGCTAAAGCGTCGTTAATTTTAATCGCGTAGAGTTGTTTTAAAAAAGCTAGTTAGCGCTAGTCGTAGTTAAAACGTAGTTAAAGTTAATCACCCTCAAAAGCATCGTCAACATTCGAAATAATATAGGTAAAAATGGAGTATTCAGCTTTTGAGGAGTGAGGAAACATAAAAAATCAACACTTAACAAGGTTTTCAACCATTATTCACTGGCTGTGGCGCAGTAAGCACGATAATTGTTTGGGGCACATATTCATATATTCATAATTATTGTGCAATCATCAATTTAGTTTCAAATCAGTCTAGAGTAAATTAATGCCGAGGTTCGAGATTAGAAGGTCGAGAGTCGCCACGCGTTATTGGACAAAATAATCAAATGTTGAAGCTCTAGCGTGGTCGAATTGCTAGCGGAGGCACTATTTCGTTTTAGCCAATGAACTCTGTCTTTTATACCTATCATATGTATGCACATATTTGTTTTGTAAACTGTTCAAAATTTTCACCAATAATTTTCTAAAGCTTTCCCGAGAGCCACATCCTAGGATTTTCGTTTGGTATTCAACTAGCTAATGTTTTTTAGTATTTTTGCACGACTGAACATGAGAAATCTTACATTCTTTAAATAAAGTTCTATTACTACTACTTCTGATCGGTCAAATTTGAGGTATCATGCTGTTATATTCACCTTCAGGTGAATAACGAAATTTCACATGCGACCGTGACCGGCCTGAAAAACAAAGCGCGCTTCACCCGCGCGGGCGGAGCGGACGTAATGGAGAAGTGATTGTTCGTATCATACACATGGAAAGCATCATGTCGATTCGAAGACAACCAGAAGGTCATTCAATGCTGTTGCCTGTTGGCCTCTGCTGCTATCTGCACTCAAAACTGTTCGACATGATTTGAATTGTGCTCGAATTCCGTGATTGAAGCTTGTTGAAATTTGAAGGTCACTCACAGTTAAATGAGTTAATTAAAGAAAACCTAAATACACAATGAAAAATAACATGCCATGCACTCCGTTTATTGGCGCAAATATTTAACTGAATCATGAATACTCTTTTCCGACTAGGCTTCAAGTAGATTTAACGAATTAGTTTGCAAAGGCAATCTGTACTTGCCTTTTACTGAAACATTAATAACATCAGACGATTTTATCTCTGAAGAAAAATTCTTGCAATAATCTTTGACCCATGTCATCTGATACACTTATTATTAACGTCAGGAAAAGAAATATAATTTACCATGATTATGCATGCACAATTAGTAAAGAGGCCCTCATTCATATAAATAATAATTTATGCGTCTTTAAAGACACACAAACATTGTAGCGATAATAACATTTATTACATATAAGGCATTACGGGGGGTGTATACTAATTCATGTACTCAAGCTCAGCATTATGACTTTCTTTTCAAATTTATGGTTTTTACTGTCTTCTAACATCAATAATTTGAAGATTTAGAAGTCCCCCACTTAACGTTCTTTCGCGGCCGCTGGTCGTTAGTATCACGAAAGAAAAACACTGCCAACAACTGAATTATCTCAGCGGCGCATGAATCTTGCTGTTGATTGCGTATGGTCAATTAGCAGTACAATTGCCTGGAAACTTTGAGTATAAAAATGCTTAATGAATCTGCACTGCCAGATATGCATGTTTATGCAATGCCTATATCATTGTAGACAGCCTTAAGTGATAATTGATCTTAATTGATTATTTAAAGCAATGGTGAATTGGGGAACAACGACTACTTGATTGTTATTCCAAGAGTTTTTCGTGCGGGAACGAAAATGAACATCGGAGTTAATATTTTTGGCAGTAAAGGGTGTGATGTTGAAGTCAGAGTGTACGATGGGACAAAAAATGTCCTAATAAGCCAAGCCAGAGATCGATTTCAACCAAATGAAGCCGGCACTCTGGAACTTCCGGTTAGTATTGTATAAAACCAAAAGATCGAATTGTGTGCATGATATTTTTTGCTCATTAGAAATTCACGTTTTTTAGGCGCTCGAGAAGGCGTCGTCGACTCTTAAAGTGGAAAGCACGGTGTGTGGAGTAAGAACTAAAAAAAAGTCGGTGAATTTCGTAACTTTTGAAAATAAAGTTTTTATTCAAATTGACAAACCGATTTACAAACCTGGACAAAAAGGTCAGTTTATGCATAAAGCATGGCAAAGTACATGGGATAATTAAATACATGACTCTTGTTTTCTGAAACTTGATTAAGTCATCAGAGAAAAATTACCATTTTGCGTTTTGTAATCCAGTCTTGTACTCCAGTAGTCTTGTAATCCAGTCGTTGGATAAACAACGATCATTTCAGAATTTGTAAAACTCGAACATAATTTTCTTTACGATATGTTATACTTTAAAATGATATGTTATACTTTAAAATGATATGTTATACTTTAAAATGATATGTTATACTTTAAAATGATATGTTTTACTTTATTTTAGTCTTGATTCGAATCATTAGTGTAGATCCTAAGTTGAAGCCTGCAGGAAAAAAGGTAACTTAAATAAAGACTTTAAACACCTCTTTTCAATAGGCTGAATGTTTCGAATGAACGAAAATGTTCTTCATCTTTTATTTCAAATTCTAACCGATTGAAAACAAAATTCGCGTCTGGACTGGAATGCATAATGTGGAACGGAATTAAGTATAATCATGTGCACCTCAGTAATTATACAAAGATAATTTGCAAAAAAAATCCATGCTTTTGAGAACCTCCTTAGAAATATACAATGCAGCAAATTTTATTGCATATAGATAAGAACATTCCGTTTGAACGCCACTTGTTTAAAATTGTTCATTGCACGAGGACGATAAATTCTCAGTATATAACAGCGGCAGCCTTTAGACTTATAATTTTCACGTTTTATTCCCGATTATAGATTTCTTCAGTGATTATAGAGGTGAGTTTGTCTTAAGCGCATAAATATTCACACTCATGCAGGCGTAAATACGCGAATTTTTAATGGAAGGAAGAGGATGGATGTAAGGAAGATGATCAGGGGGGGGACTCGTAGATGTCAGGGAGTCAGGTGTGAAAAGGGGCTTCCTGTTTCAGGAGACCCAGAAGTGCAAGGATAGTTTAATCTGGATTGCTTATTATTGCTCATTTTATGAAAAGTATGACACCGTAGAAATGTGTGCTCGTGAAAACTCATGACTGGTTCACATTTGAAAACTAATTACTACTTCTGTATTGCTCCAGTTTCAATGTATGCATGCAAGTATAAGTGATCATTCTAATATATCCGGCTGTACGTTTAGCCAATTTCTTTTAGCGAGGTGGAAAACGGAGTGATTCACATATAAGAATATATCGAATGCGTTACGCATTGCAAATGACTCCCACATGCAGCGGCCAAAAAGGGAGGGAGGGCAATTTCCCAAAGCGACAAGGTTGCAGGGTCCTCCAAGATGCCACTAAACTATTTTGGGAGTATATACCATTCGTATGGGTTATTTACAGTTTGGACAATGCAACATGTATTCGATATGATGAAAAAATTCAAAATATAGGAAATCTCATCTGCTGTATTCTAAATTAAAAAATCCCAAGGCCGGGCGCATTATAAAATTATTATTACAAAAATTACATGAACGTACTATGTTATATTTGCTACAAAATTTGGCCTGTGAAGAGAGTTTTGTCCCTGGTCCACAAAATTATCAGCGGCCCTGACGACGTCATTTCTTGCTCATCTGAGAAACATAAGAAGAGAGAACCTCGACAGAACCTATCTACATCACTGGCATTTCCTTCTTTTCTTATAACTTCTGTATTTCAAACCTTCAAATATTTCTATCGTTTATGCATGCATGTATACAAGAAGTAGTTCATATAAAAGATTTTAATATTATAATATTTATAATGATCGTTATTCCTCTAACATAGGAACCCAATGGTGCGAAGATAATGCAATGGAAAGATGTTTTGATGCAAGATGGTATGTGGCTTTCTTTTCTTAGCCGTGAAATTAAACGAAAAGTATGGTAAATAATGATTTTATATAATTATATAACAAACGTACCATTTCAGGTTTTGCAAACTTGCAGCTTCAACTGTCGAAGAACCTGTTCTCG